AGTACACATATACAATGGAATATTGCTCGGCTGGGGAAGGGAATGGCTTCTTGCCATCTGTGGCACATAGATGGACCTGGAAGATACTATGCCATGTGGAGTGTAAGAGAAAGACAGATACAATATGTCTTTTCACTTATATGTGAAATCTAAAAAACAAAATAAACAAAACAGAAACAAACTCACAGATACAGAGAAACATATTGATGGTTGCCAGATGAGAGGTGCTTTGGGAGTTAGTGAAAAAGGGGAAAGGATTAAGATATACAAATTGGTTGTTACACAGTAATCATGGGGATGTAGGGTATAGCATAAGGAATATAGTCAATAATATTGAAATAACTACGTATGATGCAAATGGATACTAGATTTGTTGGAGTGATAGATAGGAGGGGGTTGGGGGCAGGGTGAAAAAGGTGAAGGGATTAAGAAGCACAAACTCATAGTTACAAAATAGTCATGGGGATGTAAAGTAAAGCATAGGAAATATAGTCAATGATATGGTAATAACTATGTATAGTGCCANTCACCACCAGAGCATGAGAAGGCTGAACAAAATGTCCTCAGCTTAAAAAGGTCCTCTGTGTTCTTCCAGTGGAGAATCAAAACATAAATCTTAACAATCTCCTTATTCCCAGGGCCCAGAATTAGCCCATGGGTTTCCTTTAATCCCAAGTTCCTGAATTTCACTCTGGGAGACCACTGCCCCCACCACCAAGTCACCTCCGTTAGTTTCACACAGACCCCCTAGAACAAAGATGCCCCAAGGTGATCTGTCCTCCCTTTGAGCCCTGCTTGGTGATTCCCCCAAAGCTCTATGAGTAAGGGGGGCTTTAAAACAGATAGAGATCTTACCTATTTTCTGATTTGCTAAGTATATGGTAGGCGGCCATGTCTGTGAGAGAATGCTGAATCACCTAATGCCAAACTCTGAGCGCCATATCCCTTGTTAGCATCAGGGTTTTTCCCTTCATGAATTCATTTATTCATCCATGCAGCTACCTAATCTCTTATTCAAGGCTGTGTACTAAAGATGGTTAAGACCAAGTTGCTGTTCTTCACAGTGTTACATGTTCTATTTCAGAGGGGTTAGCATAGCCTCTTACACAAGTTGAAGCTAACATAAAAGAGATTTGACTAATGAACTCCAGGAATTGAAGGTTTGCAGCTCCAAACTTAGGAATCATGGGGGTGGAAGAGGAGGGGCATTTTGTAATATATGGACATGCTTAAATGGGGAACAGAGAAGATATTTCAGGTGGAGAGGATCCAAAGACAGAATGTTAAAAATAACAAGTGATCCAGTCTAGCTGGAGGGGTGCATGAAGAAGGTTGAAAAGGGCAATTGGTGGCAGATCATAAAAGTCCTAAACCCCCAGAATGAAAATTTGAGGGTTTTGCTGCTCCTTATTCTGTAAGTTATGGGGAGCAGCAAAGGATTTAGGGCAGGAGTTTTTGACATGTTTAGAACTCAAATTTAGCAAAATTAATCAGATATCATTATATAAAATGGGTTAAAAAATAGAGAGTAGAGGGGGGCAGAGACAGCAGTGGTAGAAACCACTTAGGTAAGAGCTTGGCTGGCTGGTAATCCTCAACCAAAAAGTTCTCAAGAAAACCTTTGAGGGACAGCAGGTCTCCAAAATGTTCCATTCTTTCAAGGTTCTGTATCTAAGGTAAGTATCTCAGTAGATATTCTATCTTGGATCCACAGCCTCAGATAAAGCCAGAACTACCTTATTCTCAGATCCTCACTTGCCCCTGCATGGAAAACAGTGAGGATGACCAAGGAGTAGGACACCAAAAGTTCCAACAAGAGCAAGAGTCAAGAGACCCTGAATGACTCTTGTTTTTCACTTAAATATTAGAATGCTTCCCATCCATGTTCTCTTCACAAATTCCCATTAAGATGTTAATGACTTGATAGATGAAGGATCCAACGTTAGTGTTAATTTTCTTTTTAAAGGTTACCCAAAGGAATGAATTCCTGATGAAGGTACGTTAAGCAATTAACACAGACATTTTCCTGGCATCCCCAAAATCATAGTGTGCAAATGACCTTGTGTACATGTAAGACTGGGCTAGGCAGGGAACCCCATCTGAGCTGCTTCATTTATGACTTGTCACCCTAGCACAAGGTATTTATCTCTCATAGAAAAAGAAGAGTCCATCCAGGGAAAGGAGAACATGTCCTGGCAGATATCTTGGACTCTAATCTGTTAAATGACCATGAGAGATTCACCATAAAATAGTGATGGCAGAAATAAAATGATGGGTCAAATAAGGTGGCTTATATCCACTTTATGTGCTTACCTGAAGAGAAGGCTCCTAGTTCTTTAAAAACCTATGTGCCTCTCACAGAAACTTTCATCATGATTTGGAGGTGTGGGAAAGGTTGCCGTAAGAACAGAGTGCTGGGAAGGGAGATCCAAGATGGTGGAGCAAATAAACACTCTGCTTGTGTCCTTTGATAAACACATTAAAATTACAACTAAAATACAGGACAATCAACCTTGAGAACCATCTGAAGCCTAGCCAAACAGAAGTCCTATAACTAAAAATANAGGACATGCAAATGTTGAGAAGTGCCATGACTAAGAAGTATAAATATCTCAACTCTCTATCCTTGAGGTCCCAAGAGAGAAAGAAAAGGGGGAAGACAGAAAGGAAGTGGGGTGGGGAGGATAGGAGGGTAGAAAGAAGCTAGCTCAGATACACTCCAAAATTTTAAGAGATTGTCTCCAGGAGGTGGAATTGTGGTGAGGTTTATTTCTCCACCTCTTCCAAAAAAAATATTTTAATAATATTTTTTACTTTTAAAAGATTAAAAAATGGCAGAAGTCTTAGGTGGCTTTTGAGTGACATTTAAGGGCACCTCGATGCCACAGAGAGCCAGAGAATTATAACCAGTATCATTTGCTTGGATCATTAAAGTGGATTAAAAATGACTGTCTTGTGAAGTATAACCCAACACTACCTCTCTCCATTCTTATTAGATCTGTTCTAGCCTTAAATTGACTTTTAGAGTACTCAGAGAGTCACCAATGACCTGGATCCCACTCAGTTATCATCAAATATTGACATTCTGCTGAAAGAAAGGCATCTAATAGGTTTCTGACTGGCCTTACAATAAAGTCATCTCTCAAATACTCAGAAATCAGTAAAAGAAGGGCTCGCCATGATTTAACTCAGGACCAGCTAAAAAAAAATGGATCGGGTGAGGAGGAGATCCAAGATGGCAGAATAGGTAAACACTGTACCTACTTCCTTCTGTGAAGAAATTAAAATTACAACTAAATTATAGAACAATCAACCTGGAGAACCATCTGAAGTCTGGCTGAATAGAAGTTTTATAACTAAAGAAAAAGCCACGTCAAGACTGGTAGGAGGGATGGAGATGCGGAACTCGCTAACCCCAAACCTTNTACATTACGATTCATAACAGTAGCAAAATTACAGTTATAGAGTAGCAACGAAAATAATTTTATGGTTGGGGGTCACCACAACATGAGGAACTATATTAAGGGGTCGTGGCATTAGGAAGGTTGAGAACCGCTGCATAAATCAGTTGCCTGGTTTTCATCCTGATGCTTCTGCACAGGACCTGTGGGCTCTTGGGCAAGTTTTTTAACCTCTTCCTACCTAAGTTTCCTCACCTGTAAACTGAGAAAAATAATAGGATTTATCTCACAGGTTATTCTGAGGTTCTAATGAGATAAAACATACCAAGTGCCTGGCACATAAGTGTTCAGCAAATAGTCACTATCATTTCTCTGTTAAAGTAAAATAATAGTTTGGAAAGTTTAGAAAACAGAGAGTGGGGAAAACACAAGCAATAAGCCCCACTTCAGAATGCTTGTTATCACTGTTTGTATATAACAATTTTCCTTTTAGGCATGTTTTTAAATGTAAAATATAATGCACATATAATTTTTACTTAATATTATAAGCATTTTTAAATGTTACCCCTTATTTATATTTACTGTTTTTAATGGCTATATAATAGACTATAAAGTGGGCACTCCATCACATAGTTACTCCTTCCCCTATTGATATGTACTTAGGTGGCTTCCAGTTTCTTAGTACTACAAATACAATTGACACTTGAACAATGTGGGGGTTAGGGAGACCAACCCCTGTGCAGTCAAAAATCCATGTATAAATTTTGACTCCCTCGAAACTAAACTACTAATAACCCACTGTTGACTAGAAGCCTTACCAATAACATAAATAGTTGATTAACATATTTTATGTTATATATATATTACATATAATATTCTTACAGTAAAGTAAACTAGAGAAAATGTATTTGAGAACACCATAAAGAAGAGAAAATACAGTTTAACTTATATCCATGGTATGGTTCTCAAATATCCAATGGGGTCAAATTGAATGAATAAATTTGTGGGGTTTTTAAAAATACGTATTGCTAAATTACTGCTGAATTTCTTTTTGAAAGTGTGGTACATGTTTAGTTCTGCTAGAAAAGCTAGAGAGAGCTGGTATTATTTCCCTAACATTTGGTATTGTTTGCATTTTTTCATTACATATCAGTTTTTCCCACTTGTTTCTTAATTTTACTCTTTTTTTATGAATTTTCAGTTCATTTCCTTTGCCCATTTACCTATTGAGGTCTCACATTGTTTGTCTCACTAATTTGAATGAACCTCTTTGTTCATTTTTCCAGCCTGCAGTTTGTGTTTCACTTTAGCTGGGTAGTAATTTAGCAGGATAGTGTAGTAAAGATAATAGTCTCTAGAGCTGAGCTCTGGGCCCACATCTGATTGCTGCTAAGTGTGTGACCTTGGGCAGGTAACCAATCTGTAAAGAATGATATTACCATCCATATCTAAGCTTGCTGTGATAAAAGCACCTGGCACAGTGTGTTCAACCAGTATGTAGTTATTACTAAATTTGTTTTTAACAAGAAGGGGTGAATTTTGAGATGGGCAAGTGGGCAGGATATAAGCTAAACTCTTTGCACATTTCTCCTTCCCCAGGTCGTGGCCACCATGTTCCTCCTCATGTTTGTCTTTGCCATCTTTGACTCCAGAAACTTGGGAGTTCCCAAAGGCCTAGAGCCCATTATCATTGGCTTCGTAATTATTGTCATTTCTTCCTCTTTGGGATTGAACAGTGGCTGTGCCATGAATCCAGCTCGAGACCTGAGTCCCAGACTTTTCACTGCTTTGGCAGGATGGGGGTTGGAGGTCTTCATGTAAGTAACATGGTGGAGCTGGGAACACATCATGCTGTGCTTTATTCAGGGAGGGCTGTGCTTTGAATTGGGATCCAGGAGAGTGCAGATGGGAGGTTGGAGGTCAAGTGCATACTCTGGTCATTACTGTGGAATGTTTTATTGGTGATTTGTAATATGGGTGTGTGNGACATGTTTGCCAAACTGCAGAGAACACAAGGGATAATTATTATACTAGACGATGGAACTCAAATATGTTCTAAAAATCTCATCAAGCTGGAATAATGTCACAACAGACAAGATGAAAATTATCAAAAAAAATTTGTATATATATATATAAATACACTTTATTCAAGTCCATAACACCATTTAGGGAGACATTGGAGAGAAGTAGCCAGCCATTCTATGACACATGCCAGGGATTTATAGCTAGCTGTGCATTCCATCTGATGATATGATTGCTAAATGTCAATAAATCCAGGGCAGTGTTAATAGTCAGGATAAACAGAAGCACTGTTCCTTCCATCTTCAGCATGAGACAGATCAATTTGGGTACTGGGAATATGTTTTAAGTGTATTGTTTCAAGTTATCTATTGCTGTACAGTAAGACCCTGACTTACGAACATTCGAGTTGCGAACTTTCACAGTTAAGAATGGACCTCGCATTATGAACACTGGTAGAGTGAACAAATCGTGGAAGTAGCTCACGTGTCTGCCAGACATTGTCACAGTTGTGCTGCTGTGTGCTTACTGTACAGTGCGATAGTGTACAGTAGTGCAGTGCTCAATCAGAGCCCAGGATGTCCGGAAGCAAGAGGAAAAGCAGCTCCACCATCTCCCACCTGCCCTCCCTCCTCCAGTTTAGTAACCCTTCTTGTCAGTTCACTCCATGCAACCCCCTGTATGCCAGTTGTACTGTACTGTTCCACCATTTTAAGGTAACTGTAAAAGTAAAAATAGTTTATTTACAGTATTTTTGTATGTGTTTAGTTTTTTGATGCTTTACATTGTATATTTGTGTCAAAGGTATACAAGACTCACTTTGTCAGACTTACAAACGAATCCGACTTACGAACGTTCTCCCGGAATGGAACTCATTCTTAAGTCGGGGACTTATTGTATAACAAACTACTCCAACTTAGCACCTTAACAAAACTTTCATCTTATCTCTCCAGATTCTGTGTCTTGGTTGGGCTCAGCTGGATGCTATTCTGTTGTGTTTGCGTAGAATGTTTTTTTGCAGTTGCAGTGGTTGGCAGTTGGGGCTGGAGGCCCATGAGCAGGACATCCAAGATGGCTTCTTCACTCACAGAG